GGGAGGCAAGGGAAATGGGGGTGGGGCAGGGCAAAGGACAGAACAGCGAAGTAAATCAGAGCGTGCGGGCCCCAGGAGCTCAGAAGAAGGGTGGGCACAGCCAGGGGGATGCGGCCAGGCGGGCGCCAGCCCAGGCCCAGGGACTGGCACCGCGCTCAGGCCCCCGCCCGCTCCCCGGCCGAGCAGGGGGCGGGCCAGTGGGCATCCTCCTGGGCGCAGGCGACACCCTACAGTGCCTAGCGGCCCCCCTCCTCAGCGGAGGGGCCAGAGGATCGGGAGAGGCTTTACTGGGGGCAGGGGGCAGGTTGTGAAGGTCAACAACACATCTTGGCAAACTTTACCTCCTCCCTGGCACTGGCTGAGCACTTTTCCTAGGTCCTTTCATTTTATCTTCCCCCAAATCCTGTGAGATAAACCGTATTGCCAACCCCATTTTACAGATGAAGAAACTGAGAGGGAGCCCGGGAACCCAAGAGAGCTCTGGCAGTAACAGGCCTCGCTGGGCCTCGCTGGCCTCCTTGTTGCCCTGACGGGGAGGAGGGCGGGGGCAGGAAGCGGAGCTGGGGGGCCTGAGTCTCAGGCCAGAGGAGTCCACGGGCCGGCTGAAGGGCACGGGGCTCCTGGCCTAGGGGGGAGGCCTCTCCGCAGGGGTCAGGACAGAGGGGACTTCGGGAATCGGGAGGCTGGCTGTGGGAGGCGGAGGCAGGAGTCTGGCAGGCACAGGAACTCGGCCCAAGGGCACGGTGAGCCGGTCAGGCTGGCGGAAGGTGGGGCACCCTGGGAGCGGGCGCACCCGGGACTTGCGGGCGGAGGGGAGTGTGAGCTGTGGGGACAGAGGGAGCTGCAGGTGGCACTGGGCGGATGAGTTGGCTTCCAGGTCACGGGTCTCCCAGGGAGGGTGTGGCTTCAAAAAAAGGTCCGTGAGCTGCTACCGTGTGTTTGCCAAGTTTATGGTTAAGTGACAAATGCAAAGTGCAGAACAGTGTCTGTGGGATGTTGCCTTTTGTATAAGAAACAAGGGGGAAATCAGGAAATACTGATGCATCTCCCTTTATTCCCGTTGCTTTCTGAGAGAGAGAAAGCCATGGACTAGACCCTGCTGCTCACAAGGGGCGGGGGGGGGGCTGG